AATGCTCCTGTTTCTGGCACTTTCAGGTGTACTCACACTGTTGACTCTGTGTAATCTACATATGCATACACACAGAGTTGCTAGATGGCACAGCTCTATGGTCAAACTCGTTTTCTGAAAACTCAGTGAATTTCACATTATTGTTTTGTAATACTTGTCACTAAGGAGGAGGTCAGAACTATGCCACCTGGAGATGTAAGCCACCAGCCTGTCCTAAGCCATCTGCAGCTCCTTGGAACATCCCCTTATTGATGATGGAAAGATCTCTGGTGTCTGCCTCTATACTTGGTACTTCCTTGGTACAGCCACCTGTGAGCTCATGAGGATGGTTAACCACACCTGCCCGTACACTCACAACATGGAGGGATAGCTGACCCCAAAGTTTTACACTACACACAGTCTACAAAGACGATCTCAAAAGTCAAGACTAGGGACTTGGCATCTACCTAAATCTGCCCATTACTGCCCTGTGACTGGGCAAATCACCTCACCTTGAGTTTTCTCATCTATAAAATGAGAGAATTACAGCAGGCTTTTCTCAAAAGTTCCATACAGCTCTTACAGTCTATAATTATAATGACAACTCAAATTTAGGAAAAAATGACCTAGTGTGTGTGTGTGTGTGTGTGTGTGTATATACATATACATATATATATACATATACATATATATATATACATATAACATATACATATACAAGTAGGTGATCTTTAAAAAGTTTATGAAAATGTACATTATGAAAAAACTATGTAGGACCAGCAGGTGGCATGGTAGTTAAGACATTGGACTCCCAGATGACTGACTGTGGTTCAAGTCCCAGATCTGACAGCTTGCTTTCTCTCTCTGTCTCTCTCTCTCTGGTGAGCATACCTGTCCTATAGCAAATTTTAAAATGATGATAATTATAAATAAAATTAAATACATAAAAAGCTATGTATAGATTTCAAATTTTTGCACCATAAAAACTCATACATAATTTTTTTTTTCACAAAAGTTTTGAAGTCCTTTCATACATGTTGGAAATCATTTAAATTTTCTTTATAAAAAATGGAACTGGATTCCAATCCTAGCAGCCTCAGCAGCATGAGAAACATGCTGGGCATGTGTGCATTCTGTGCCCCACATCCTGAGGGGAGGGATGGAGAAATGGAAGAGATAGTATTGCAGCATAACTACACCCCACTGGAGGGTGCCCTCTCTCTCTTTCTCTCCCTCTCTTTGGAAAGTACATATACCCTTTGGCAATAAAATTAATTCTATAAATAATTTCATCATAGTGTATATATTCTTAGGCAACTTGCTTTCCTCCTTCATGGTGAGCATCATCCGGGTTGTCATACATAGTTCTAGGCTATTCCTTGTTACTGATGTATGGTATGTCATGTATACTGCTGTTTACTTACCCATTTCTTAATCATGAAATTTAAATTATTTCTATCTTTTGCTATTCCATACAATGCAACTAGCAATAACCCTGTACATGTCTCCTTATGAATCTGTATGTGTGAGTTCTCTCTATATAGCTATATTTCTGAAAGGACTAGACAAACTTGACTAAAATATGTAGAACAAATCATAGAAAACATAAGCATTTTTCATAGACAACAGTCCACATTAAAACATATTATTTGCACAGATACGGTTTATTATCTGTTGATGAGGATGTGTATAGTATCCTCAACTGGACTGAGATGTATATCCTACTGAGTAAAGTCTCTTTACAATCTAAATGATGTATAGTGATTGAATGCATAAATAATCATCATCATCATTTTTTTAAAAATCTTCCTGGAATAACAGCCATCATTCTTCCCAGGAGTCAGACAGACATGAGTATGTTGGATAAATGACAAGATATATCAGTGACTAAAATGCGGATGATCAGAATCCAGGATTAAAGGTGTCATATGGCAAATCACATACTTAGATAGATAGGGCGAAAGATTCTTCACAATAACATTAGCTATGACAGTCAGTCAGGATAAACGTTGGAATGTGGCGTGTCCCTTCATATACCAGGTATACTTCACAAATTAACAAAATCTACCTTGACATTGCATCTCACTTGAAGGCTCTCCTTTTGTTAACCTTTGTTTCAGCACTAGAATTTAAATGACTTCCATTATGTCCCATGCTCAGTTATATCTCCACATTGAGGCCATTTCATCATAATAGCAGCCCAAGACAGATGCCTGCCACACAGCTTTCCTTCTAATTTTGTCATGGCAAAAACAGTTCACTTGTTAGCTTCCATAATGTCTATATAAGCTGAAGGATAAAAATAAAATATTGGGAAGATAAAAACAAAAGCATATTTTTACATCAGAGTGCACAGCTTACATACATCTATATCATATAATAATAAGATTACTTAAAGAAAAATGCATGTATTTAAATACCCAAAAAAATTGATAGGATTATTTATTCTTTGGTTGCTGTGACTAAACTCAGAGACAAGACACACATGTCTTGTGTCCATAAAGCTTCATAAAGACTTGGCACAGGGCCCAGCAGGTGGCGTGGTAGGTAAGGCAGTGGACTCCCACATGGCCAACTATGGTTTGAGTTCTAGACCTGGTAGCTTGCTCTCTCACTTTCTCTCTCTTTCTCTCTTTCATGGGCACACATACCCTATAGCAAACTTTAAAATATAACAATAATAATAAATAAAATTTAAAGGGACCAGCAGTTGGCATAATGGTTATGTCGCTGAACTCCCATGTAGTCCACCACAGTTCAAGTCCCAAAACTGGCGGATTAAACTCATGCCGGGCACGTGTGCGTGCATGCCCAAGATCCTGAGAGGAGATTGGAGGAGAAGGGATTGCGGCGTGGCCATCCCCCCCGCCCCATGGGGGTGATATCTTGCTTTCTTGTCTCTCTGTCTCTCTCTGTCTTTCCGGTGAGCGCACACACCCTATAGCAAAAACCTCTCCAAAAAAAATTTTTTTTAATTTAAAAAAACTTGGCACAGAGTATATGCCCAATAAATAGTTGTTGATTCCAACTTTCTACTCCACAGTAATTCCAAAAAAAATTAATTTTATTCAATGAGAGGAGGGAACTCTTAGTTTCCATGTAGTCCAATTACCCCGTGGCATATTACTGTTAGGAGTAATAATAGTAATTATTAATTTTATTTAGAAATTAGTCATTGATATCAGGTATTAGGTATTTACCAGTGTGAATAGCACAGCTTATCTCATATTCTTAGCACAAAGCTATAGATGAAGCTCAATAGCGTGGAGTCATGTGCACAGGATCACACAACTAATATGTGACAGTGTGAGTCCAAACTCCACCACCTCCCTTCCATTCCAGCTCATAGTGAGTGGTGGCAATCTGAAGAACGTAAGGCCATAGTCGTGGGGAAGAGAGGAAGTCAATCCAGAAAGACAGGGAAGTCATACAGAAACAAGATATGCACACACCTGCCCACCCAGAGTGGAAGGGGGTTGCTGGGCCCTTCCATGTAACTGGGAAATGCCAGGTCTGCCGATTGCTGTATGTTTGTCTTGGTGATTGTCCCACACTGCACTGTGGCCTTGACCTGTACCCACCTGAAGGAATAAATCCAGGACCTGTCTTTGTGTTTCAAATAAAGCAGGAAGCTACATATTTGTCTTCCTGACCTACCCCTTTCAGGTAAACCAAGCAGTCAGTCTGACCCATCAACAGGAAGCTCAGAGTTGGTCAGCTGGTGATGGGTACCCCAGACATCAGGGAGCCAGCTGTTTTCAGCATCATGTCCTTTGTCCTCTAAACGACAAGGGGCCAGCATTGAGTTTTAAGATAGTACTCTAATTTTCACCATAAAGCATATGTCATGGTGGTATTTTCCAAAATGAATTCCTTAAAATATGGAATTCTGTGGTTGAGTACTATTCAACAGGCTTTCCTACCTCATATTTCTGTCTTTGAAAGGTGTTCATGTGGGCGATGTTTCCAACAGAAGTATATTACAAACCCCATTTCTCAAACCTTTCTGTTTAGGGAATTCTTCTACATGGAGCATCTCTTAATCTAGCATTTTGGGGGCTGTGCTTTGGGAAATGGCATGACAGACTTTATGAATACTCTCTCATTATGAAGTGCCCAAGGGATGAAAAATTGGGAAATGATTCTTAAATAGCTTTATTTTTTCCCCTTTTTAACTCTACAAATAAAAAATCATGTAACTAGATTAAAGAAAAGTTTTTTAAATAGCAATAAATCACCTTATTTCACAGCTTTAAAATATCCCTTTTTCCAAATGTATGTCACCAAATGCTTGTCCTTGGTGTGTGTGTGTGTGTGTGTGTGTGCATATATTGAGAACTTACGATGTTTAGACACTGTCCCAAACTTTTTGTAGGTCATCTCATTTAGTCCTCACCGTCACCATGTGAATTAGCAAATACAACCCCATGTCAGAGGTCAGGAAACTGAGACTCAGAGGGCTTAACTAACTTCCCAAAGTTGCACAGCAAGTGAGTGACTGAGCCAGTGTTTAGACACTGTTACTTTCTGACGCTATAGCCCATGTGTTCAAGCACTCAGATGGTGAAATAGTTATTTCCTAACCTGGGGAAGAATTATCTTGAATTTACTACCAGGGACTTTATTTTATCTTGGATCATCCTACGGCTGAATTGTATGTTGGATGGATTGTCCCTGCTCCTTCTTTGTCCTTACCTCCCTTCTTTGACTTTCAGTAAGTGTCGCCAGGGCTTCACGGTACATAATCCTAAAGGCAGCACCACGTTGTTTTCTGTTTTATGGCTCTATAATCCTCTCCGTTGTAAATACATTCAAAAGTTATTGTGGCTTTTTCTTGAAGCCTCAACATTTTCCAAAAAGTGATTTATTCTGATAGTGCTTTAGCTTCATGATTTCAAATATTAAGTTACTTGGCTCAGGTGGTCTTATATTCTCCCCATAAATGTGTTTATGTCACCCCACAGACTAAGAAATTTCATTCCAGACTTTTTTCTTTCTTTCTTCATTTGATTTTCCTGCAGGAGGAGAACTGAATTCTTTGAACTTGTCAGTAAGGGAGAATATGATTGGAACATCAAAAACCACCGTGATATATTTCGGTAAGAAAAAGCTCCTGCTGGTGTGTTTCTTCATTATTGGAACATTTAGCCATGCTTTTATGACAGTGATAAGAGCAGAAAGGTGATTTTTTAAAGTAACAAATCTTAGCTTACATTTAAAGCATTCAGAAATTAGTGTGATAAACTAGAGAAAAGATCATGTGTCTTTTCATCTTAAAATTTATTATATTTTTGCCTTCATTCCATAAATCTGCCTTCCAGATTAGAAAATGATGTTCAGACTAGTTCTATTTCAGCAAGCCATGATCTCCTTCTTTTCCTGGGAGGCGGGGAGGGTGCAAACAGGGGGAAGAAGTGACATTTAAACCTCAGACGCCAGAATAACGCAAAAGAAGACGGAGAGCTAATTTTTGCTTTTATTCAGAGACACTACGAATTGTGGATAGAACACATTTTTCTATCCACAAATGAAAACATTACAGATAAACTCCCAAATATCCTTTGAGTTCCATCCCTACTTCCCATATTGGGAGCTATAATTTATTATAATCAATCTGTTATGTTTCTCCAGACCGTTTCCAAAACAGTCACATACATATATATGTACCTTTAGTAAAAACACTGTTTAGTCTATGTTTTTTGTTCATTTTAACATAAATTATATATTTACATACAAATCTGAACTCAATGTCTTGCTCAACTCATATCCTTGGAATTCTTCCGCTATCTGCACAGCATCGTCTTTTACTGTGGCGTAGTGTTCTAAAACATGACTGCACCACGGGGTATTTAGCTGTTCTTCTACTGAGGGATTAAGTCTGTGAAATGTGATTTCTGCTCCTTCTGAAATTCACTGGTCACCTCCCCAGTATGAAACCCTACAGCCTTTGTTCTCTTCTGCTTCCTTGGTCTCTTTATAGCCCCTAATTGGGTTAGGCTTCCCTTTCCTAAATCTCTCACCAGCTTTGATGTCTTAGCCTGCTATTGTGTTGCTAAACATAAATACCTGAGACTGGGTGATTTATAAGAAATAGAAGTTTATTTGGCTCAAGATTCTGGTAGCTACAAAGTCTAATGGTGTGAGGCTAGCATCAGGCTGGCCTCTGGTGGCCTCCGGCCACATTACAACCTGACCAAGGGAAGCACAGAGGAAGGTAGGCACATTAGGAGAGAGGAGAAACAGAATTCCCCACTTCCTCTGTTTGTCCCTCCCATACCCCCAGCAGTTTGGATGGTGTGCTCCTATTAGGCCCCACCTCTTAAAAATCTCACCGCCTCCCAGATCCATTACACTCACGCCCAAGCTTCCGGGTGGTGAACCTTCGGGAACAAGCCACTATCCAAACTACAGCAGTTGGATTCTGCAGAGTCGTGCTCTTTCTACTTTTCTTCTTGCTCTTCCTTCTTTTCTTCGTTCTTCTCTAACTTTTCTTCCTTCCCACCACCCCTAAGTGTAACAGTCCCCTAAGGACCTGTTTTTGATTCTCTTTTCTTTGCATCCTTCACACTCACCTCCTAAACTTTTCTTCCTAAAGATCCAACAGGTCTCCCTGAGCCCCTAATTTGACTGCCAGTTCCAACAGCATAAAGGTTTCAACCATTCCACCCATCCTACCTCCCACCCTTTTCTGTCCTCTCCTTTATATAGATATCCTGGCCCTCTGTATTCACGGAAAGTAGACATGCTCCTGACAGACTTTATGGATCCCAGCCTGGCGCTGACGTTTCTTAGCTGTCTGATCTTCGGCAAGTTACTGCACTTTTCTGACCCTTAATGTTTTTATCTGTAAAATGGAGATAACAGTAGTATTCCGACTTCCTGTAGGAAGCGTGTCAGTCACCTAGTAGTGGCTACTCAACCAACAGTA